TACAGATATATATCCAAAATATATACATTGATATAAAAAACAATTTAATACCCTGTGGATCCAACTAGGGCGGCCATCAGTGCTCTTCGGGTGCTGGATCCACTGGTGGCTTATTTCCTATTCTGTTACTTGGAGACCACCAGCTCCACCAATCGAAGAAATTGTGCTAAAAAGATGGCCCTCTGAATTTTCTGGAATCTAAATTAATTGCAGCGGTAAGGCGATCATTCGGTTAGATGTGTTTTTGTTGTATTTGATTGTGTATTTTTTCTTCTTTTTATGTTTGGAAAATGTAACCTAACAAGTTGCACATCAGATTACAATTGTTGCAGGGATAGCTATATAATCACTTATGCAGGTTTATCTGGTGTTGATGCATGGAAGGAATATTTCCAGTATTTCAGAGGAAGCAAATTTGTGTGTTTCTATTCTTAGTGGGTGTTATAAATATTAAATCAAAGAAGAAGATATGAAGATAAGCTTATGGAGATTCTTTTAATTAAAGATACATTTCACTTCTATCGATTTTAATATACTATCAACTTAAAAGCTCCTTTCTGGGTCTACAATGACATAACCGCTCGAAAATGGTGAGATTCGAGTCATCGAGATTTTTCTTTATCCTTGTATAGAATTTTACAAAGATATAGTTAAGAGAATGCTTTTTCTTACAGGGAAGGAAAAGGCTTTCGGCTTCTTCGCTTGTCAGTGATTCTATTCTTGGCTCCTCTCTATCTACACCTACGGTCTTTGCTTTCAGCAGCTCCTGTTTTACGATGCTCAGCAGTATTGGATGACAAATGATGTATAGTCTTCATGTTATGGTACACGTCGGGAATCACTTCTAAGCATACAAAGATACAAATACAATACAATATGCACCTGTGAATAGGTCTGATCTAGTTATTCAAGAGGGACAAACAAGGAAAGAGGGATTGTCCAGAAGCTTGATGTGTACCGAAGTACATGCTCCAGAAAAGGCACATCTGGTTCTACACAAGGGCTTTGCTTGGTGTACATAATTTTTTGTACATCAAAGTGTCCCACACTCACATGGGGTGGACCCCGCTCGAATATTGTACAAGAAATTATATACAAGAACACCAAGTGTCCCCATATTGTTACATAGAATTTCATCATCTCAAAAATGGTAGGACTTGTGTTACATAATTTTTCACATGATTTGCAGCTTCTTCATTTATTTATTTATTATTATTATTTTTTTGGTGGTTTCTGTAAGTATTATGCCCTAGGTCCAATCAACTTTGGACATAAATACTTTTATATATAATTAATGCAATTAAAATGGCAGATCTATTATTTAATTAATAGACAATTAAATAAATAATAGAGTCCGTAGATTCAAATATTTGTAATTTATTAATCACAAGGAGTTGTGATATTGAGATACAAATTACATCTGATTGAATCTTAAATCATCCGTGGTCGTAAGTAATAACGAGATACAGATATCGTTATTACGGATAGACCATCACGTGTGGCATTCCTTACTTGTGAAGTAAGTAGCTGATCTCACAAGTTAAAGTGTGGTGACACTTAAATGAACACGTGGATGTTTGTTATAGAACAAAACATTGGAGACCCGTCGAGAGATTCCACATGGATAACTATCTGAGTGTCGGTGGTTAATCTCTAACGTTCGGTAGTGAAATTGGTCCTTTGACTTGAGGTCGTCATGGTACCTTATATGAGGACAGTCATACTTTGGCGGTGTTGGATGTTGCTCTGACAAGGGCCGCTAATACAACATCGTTCGGGTACGTCAAGAATCGTATGAAGGTTGTGATATTGACACAATTCCATATCTCGTAATTGATCGGATCATATTGACGAAGGGATTATAGTTTCACGGTAAACGAACGAATTTGGTTTTGTCATACCACTTGACATTTCTCGTCACATGTATTGCCCTGACACATTGCTAGATGTCAATCAGGGACGGCGAATGTGAATTGACGATAAATTAAAAGGGGTGTTTTAATTTATCAATTTTGATTAGATCAAAATAATATTTCACGTCGTTAGGCATCGTGGTCGGGAACCTAATGGGTCACACACAAAAGAGAATTGGAAGATTGCAAATTGCCAATTGATTAATTTAACAATCGTTGGATAAATTAATTAATTGAATTTGTTATTTATATTTTCGAATTAATTAATTGGATTAATTAATTAACGGACCGGGTTTAATTAATTGGATTAATTAATTATTGGGCCGGACCGGGCCGAGCTTATTTGGGTTTATATAAATACATAACTAGGGTTTGAGGTCCATTAAGGTTTTCATTATTCTTGCTAGCACAAGAAAAAACCCTAGAGGCTGCAATCATTTTCTCTGTGTGGATCACCGTTGGAGGCTGGACAATTGGACAGCTGTGGTGGCGAATCAAAGTTGTGGAACGAAAAGAAATGCAAAAGGATTGCAGATCTGAAAAAAGGTACAATCTTATCACAATTCCTAACCAAACACAATGAGATCTATTGGATGGGAATCGAAATAATTTAATTTTTCGCTGTGCATGTATAAGTAGATTCCCAACAGTTTCACAGCCATAATCAGTTAGGGCAACATTTCTCTATTGAAAGAATGTAATCCATACATGTATTATAATATGATGGCTAATTACAAACACGCTTTCCTTGTTCCGAAAGTTTATATTTGTCCTTGAAGCAAATATATGTAGTAAGACAATAGTACCATTTGTTGCCCAAGGATGACAATAGGACGAATCTGTCCTAGATTTTTAGGAGACAAGACAAGATGAGATTAAGATAGTCTCATTTCCTGTCCCGTTGACATATTTATTATTTTAATTATGACTTAAAAAAAATAAAAAATAAGAGTTGGAACAAGTTCATGTTGAGATCATGTTTCCCGTCTCCATCTTGATTCCCCAATGGGACTGGGTTTTTTGCAGTCACTATTGTTGCTCTGATTCCAGGAGGAGGAGGACAGTTGTTGTATGTTAATAATTACTCGTTCATACTTTCAAAAGTAAACAAGTCGTTAAAATCCTAAAACTCGATATCCAAAATGTATACCATATCCTTAATGTGAGTATTCTTCTGAATGATGTAAAGGAAACACAGAAGCATGCCAGCCTGGGACAGATCAAAGAAATTAGCTACTGAAGTTGGTTGGTCACTGATACAGTGTCATTTTAATATCAACTAGAATCATAGATTACATCATTCGAGTAAATTGAAAATTAGGTGATCTTTTGTAGGAAATAGGAAAGAAATCTTACTAGACTTTATTACAACAAATGACATAGTACGTAAGGTGTGATTTGCGAAGACGAATATAGATATAGTTGATGAAAAACCATTAATTTACTAGAATTTCAGACAAAAATGAATTGTATCCCTGTTTATTTTATATCTTGATAAAAAAAACTCGAAGAATATGAAAACCCATCTATTTAATTTTAAGTTCAACAATTAGATGTTTTATACCCAACTCTCGTTCAGTTGCAAGCCTAACAAAAGCATTTTCTTGTTGTAACATGGAAAATCTTTACATTTACAAGATTGATCGAGCCTATCAGTCTATCAATTTTTTTAAAAATTACACTATTCTAAAATCGTTTTTAATACATTCTTATAATAAAATATTTTACACGTAAATTTAATATTTTTTCCTACTTTTAATTACACATTTTTTCAAAAATCGCTATTCCTAAACTCATTTTTTCCAAAGAAACTCCTTTTAAACGGCATTAAACAAGGGCTAAAACTCTTTATCAAATATATTGGCAATTAACTTCCATATTTTTTTAATACAAGTTACCATAATTACTACATTAAGTTAAAATTCAAGTAGTTCTTACTTTTAATTTTCGATCCAAATTTATCCTCTAATGATTGTTACAAAGTTTTGACTCATCAAAAGCAATCATATTTAGTGGATCATGATACAAACCTTTTATTTTTTAAAAAGAAAGTTCTAGAAAACTTTGAATTTAAGAACTCATTACCTTCCCTTTACAAGTACATATACAAGTAGGTGCATATTTCATTTTTTTTTTCCTTTGTCATTTTTCTTGATGGGCAAAAGGTCTTCCTCTAATAAGGTTGACTTAGAAGGGTCACTATTAATTAAACTAGTAATAATTCCTTAATAGAACAAAATATAAAAATAAATAGAATGAATAAGCTCTCATTTGTACCTATATTTTAAGAATGAATTTTGTAAAAAGTGATTCTTTGAAAGAATGTGTGATTAAAAATAAGAAAAAAATTGAACTCCGTGCATAATTATATTATTTGAAAAATATATTGTTAAAAATGAGTTTGATAAAAAATAAATTTTTAAAAGGAGGGTCAAATCGGGACTAAATAACCTCTCAATGACATTTCGGAAAATTTATAGTCAAAATTCCCAAACAGGGACGTATATAGAGGGGACTAGATTAGGCTCCCGGCCCATTTAATTTTTTTAGTGTAATAAATTTTATTAGTATGTTTTTTTTAGCTCGACTTATAATCTGGTCCTCGATCTGTCTTTGTTCCCAACTATTGGAAACATAGGAAGGAGATCCTTAACCTATCATTTTTGCGGCCTCAGTCCCCAAGATTTAGTTTTTGTTGAAAACCCAGCATTTTACCCTTATTTTCATTCATGGCTATTTTTTTTTATTTTCTTCCTTCTTCTGAAGGAATTGGAATAACGGCTACTTTGTTTTTCTTTTATTTTTGTTATTTATGTTCCTTGTTATTAATTTATATTTAATTGAAAGCATGAAAGAAATTACATTTTTTTTAAACAAAAAATTTGGTCTTTTAATTAAACACGAGGAGAAGATATCAACTGGGGGATCAAATATCACAAAAATGAAAATGTTGGGAAAATAGGCTGCAAAATATTAGGTTAGGGGCTATTTGATATATTCTTAATAGATGAGGGACTCCATCTATAATTATTAATTATTTAATACATAAAAAAATACAAAACCCCCCTCCACTACTTTTCCCTTCTCCCTTTCTTCTCCCTTAAACTACAACAATAATCAGTCTCCGCCTCGCCTAGCCCTCCCCACGACCCTACACCACTCTATCACTCTATACACAGAAATATATACAATTGCATTGGTACACACATATAAAGGTGGTATATATTTATATAGAGTTGTTTGGGGGGGTGTGATTTGAAGAAGAAGAAGAAGAAGATGATGATGAATAGTGGTGGTAAAGATGCTGCAGGCAGACTTATGATGATTCCGAGCAGCATCAAGAACACGATCGAGAATATAAAGGAGATAACCGGTCAAAGTCACAGTGAGGAGGAGATTTACGCAATGCTCAAGGAATGCTCCATGGATCCCAACGAGACTGCCCAGAAGCTCCTCCTTCAAGGTGCCCGCATGTGGTTTCTGAGCACACGCACACTATTTTTTGCGTGAATTAGTGTTTTTGATCTTGATTTCGCTTTTGATCTGCGGTGTGATTGATAATAAGCTGTTTAATTGACCATTTGCTTTTATTTTTTAATGGGTCTCTGCCCCCTTCTATGGATGCGCTGTTTACTTTTTATTTTTCTTGTAAAGTGGGCATCTTTTATTCAAGACTGAGAGTACTGTGAATAACTTTTTCGATGGTTGCGAAGAAAATGTTTATTTTGTATTTAGGTAAATGTGATTCTTGTGAATTGGCTGCGCTTCCACTAATTTCTGTGCGAGACTTATTTTCAGATCTTTTTGGAGTGAGTATGAAATTTGTGAGGTTGAATTACAGTTCACTGGGTTGCCAAGTAAAATCTAAGATCTGGACTGGGAAGATGATGGTGGTCCTGCTTCCTTAGCTACCTCCATATATGGATCAAGTAATGTTGGTTATGGATTTCCCCCTTCCATTAGTAGAAGTTTGTTCTCAGGCTCATAATGGCCCATTAATTCTCCTATAATCTCCTATGAGTGAAGAAATTTGGATAATAATATGATTATTTTAAGTGCTTTAGTTCAAATTTGTTGGTTGTATGGTGACTTCAAATTTAAATATGTTATTTAACTACAATTTATTGTTTGGGTGTTTGATAGCTCATGTGTAGGTTTCCTTTTGTCCCTCTTCCATTTGTGAGTTTCCAAAGCAAGGTAACAAGTTTGTTTCCATATGCTTCTGCAGATACATTCCATGAAGTAAAAAGGAAGCGTGATAGGAGAAAAGAGGTATTGCTGTTTGTGATTTGATCTCATATGTACTGTAGCTTTACTCATTAATACTCCTACATCATTTAGCCCCCTATTTAATATAGATAAAAATTAGATTTTTAGTAGATCTTGGAAAAAGTTGATGAAATGCGTGGTTTGAAAAGTTGATAAAAGTTGTGGGTCCCATGAAATGTGTGGTTAAAAATGAACTTCGAGAAAAATGAATTTTAAGAAATGGGGGCCAAACAGGAGTTAACTTCATGATGACATGTAAGAGCTATGTGACATTCCAAGATTTAGGCACAAGAATCGTTCCAAGTTGCAAGTTTATGCGAAGTTATGTTGAAGCACAAATATCATTCCTGTAGGAAACTTCTTGATCATAAAATGGTGAACACATTAGCATTGTTCGGGTGTGACTAACCTGCTAATATTCTTTTAAAATGTTTCTTAATCTATTAATTTTTTATGGGGGATCAGGAAGTCTTTTCATCTAGATTTGGACTTACTATATGGCTCTCCGAGTCCTGAAAGCACCAATGCCATCAAATTTTTTATGGACAGTTTATATGTCATATGTAAATAAAGCAAGAAAACTGAAAGCTTTCTTCTAGGGTTTGAGGTACATACTGTACTACATTTCGGAATCACCTTACTAGACCAAATTGTTAGACTATGGACAGGTACATGGTCCAAAAGTCCTAATTTGTATTTGATGATTTTGAACATATTGGGTAGACTGGGGACATGTCGCTGACACACTAGGAATAACATGCTATGTGGATGTAATTTTTGAAAGGTGAAAAACTTGGATCAGAGGATAATATGACAAAGTGTAGGTTGAAAGGAGGACACAGAGGAAATTATACAAATATTGCAGTAAACAGAGTTATTACTGGAGTACATCTGCCAGCCTCTGTTGTTGTTTCTGTACATACAAGGACCCTGTTAAAATGTTGTTCATTAGGGTTTCTTCATTTTTGAAGGCGCATTTGACATTGTTCAAATAGAGAAAAGGTTGGTGGTGATGAGATTATGCCCCTGTTTGGTAGGGATTAAAATCTAGACTTTTATTAACTCAAAATCAACTGGTAGGGATTAAAATCTAGACTTTTATTAAACTCAAAGTCAACAATTAATTTTAATCATATATTTCATGAATCCACAACTTTTCAACCACACATTTAATTTTTTATTTTTATTTTTTATCAAAATCTGCTAAAAAACTGATTTTAATATGTGCCATATTTTTAAATTATTTCAAATCGTACCTTTTTTTATATTGCTTCTAAAATGATTGCCTGTCAGTTTATGAGTGAGTTCAGTCTCCCCCTACTCCATGCCCGAGACTCCAAATAATTTACTATTTCTTTGCAGTATCTGAACAAGGAGTCTGTAGAGTCAAGGTGGAAGCCTGGTGTGCAGACAAGGGTGAATAGAGGGGGTCAGAGGAACCATGCATCACAATATGTCTCTCGTGGTAAACCTATAGGCTATAACTGCTGCTACTGCCTTTGCTAGAGGATCATGTTAAATAGAATTCTATGCTTTTTAGGTAAAAAATTGAGTTTGGTATGTTTATTCCTGTTAATTTTACATCCAAAACAACTTCTTTCACTTGTATGTCTGCTGGGATAAATACCAAAGACCACCTATTTCAGAGAAATTATTAGACATTTTTTTATTTTTTATTTTTTATTTTTTTATACTGTATGTGGAGTGGATCTAAGTGGATTCTGAAGTTGGGTTCTTTTCTTGTGTTGCTTAGCCGTGGATAATCTACTAACGAAGCTGCTGTAGGTTAAGCTATGATATTTGTTTTCTATTCTTATCAGCAATACCAGCTTTACCAGAAAAGGGAAAACAAAGTAGGAAATGAAATGCTTCAGCAAAACTTTATCGGCTATAAAATAGACAATTCCTGGTGTGTTATCTTTTTACCCATCATTTTCTTAACCATCTTGTGTACTCATTATGCTTTTTCAGATGGGGGAAGGAACTTGGCCGGAGGAAAGGAAAATGCTACCAGTCAAATTTCAGAAAAAGATTCTAGCCCAGCTCCCTTGCCCAAGTCACAGGATGCCAAAAGCTATGAAACAACTTCTTTTGCAAGGTGCGAGAGTATTCTTATGACATTGGTATATGCTACTATTAAGTTCCACTTTTCTTTCATCAAATCTATGCTTCTTTGACATACTGTATAGCAGGTCTACTTCTATTTTACTTCCCAACATTTTCATGAAGTCCTTATTTCTTTTTCCATACAGACCTATAACTGATGTTGCTATTGGTCTTTCCCATATAACTTCTATTATTACTAGTGTTGTACCTGATGCCCATGCATCCAGAGGTAGTGGTGTTAATCAATCTAAAGCAACTGGAAACACTAGGCTGGGTAAATCAGAGGGGCGGCACCAGATACTGAATTCCGGTAACTGTGGAACATCTCTTTCTTCTGCACCTTCCTCAGGAGTTCATTTGTTTTCTTCAGATCCTGATTTTGTGCCATCTCAAGATTCATGTCTTGCTAGTGCGCAAGGGACTATTAAACATGAAGTAGAAATGCAGTGTATTCCTGTTGAGCAGATGGCAGACACTTCTGTTGAGGGCAAGTCGTTTGCTGGTAGACTTCATTCTCTAACTGGGATCTTATCCGTACTTTTTAAAACGTGATTGAAACGTAATTTTTTTTCCTTTAATACCATGGAAGAGGAGCTTATTTAATTTGTTCTTTTTGATATCTGAAAGTATCAGCTACAGAGGTTGGGAACTCCATTGAACAGAAGATGCCAAGCAATTGCAAGGGAGCTGAAAAGGACAATATTGTAGAATCTCCACAAACAACATCTTCTTCTATTCATGGTGGTTCTTCTATTAGTAGGCCTTCATCTAATTCCAACAATCGGCCGCTTTCAATTGGTCCACCAAAAGGTAACACGGTGTTTTTCTACAATGTGAATACCATTACTTTCCCATCTTTATTATTGTAATAAGTGTTCTAGTTCATCGTTTCATTGTGAAATGGTGAATGGTTGCACTGAGACCTGAGAATTCATTTAAAATGACACGTATGAATGATTGAAGATCTTGGAACATGACATATGATTGATATATATCATAAGTATTTTTTTGTTCGACACCTAGTGGATATTTTGGATGAATTTGTTTTGGCTATGATGACATTGTTGTGCCTGCTATCCTTTACCGGAATAACCAGTCCGTTCTGAGTGCAAAGCAGTGTTGTGAAAGGCTTTTCTTAGGTTGCACCTTGAGGCAGGAAGGTCAAACACTGCCCTGGGGTGATTTTTTGTTCTCTCTCTATGGAGGTATACACCTTATTTTGGAGGTACACTCTCTAGTCATCTGAGGCTCATCTTTGCAACCAAGACGTTAAATGTATGCCCTGTAGGAGTCTGATTTTGAAAAGGTTTTTGGACTTATGATTGGTCCAAGTCACCCAATGCATGGTTATCTTGACCTATTTTAGTGTTTCCTTTAAAGAACTTATTCCCTAGTTTGACATCTCTCCACTTAGAGGATGGGTGAAGAAGAAAGAGAAGGATGGCTTCCCCTCAATAAGTAGGATCTGGAGTAGTACCATGTTTTTCAATTATTTTTTAGAACTTTACACACACACACACATATATATTTTCTTCTTTCCTTTTTTATTTTATTTGTTTATTATTATTATTATTATTTTTTTTTTTGGGTGCAATATCACTTAAAAATGGTTACCCTGATACTCAGCCTGAAGTCTGTAAATATGGTCATGACTGATAGGAAGAACACTCCAATTCAGGGTAGGATTCAAACAGGTCCACTATTAATCATCATTAAATATGCACGCTCATAACTAACTGGTGGTTATGTATTTTGCTTCAGTGGGTACTGGCAAGGAATGGAAACCAAAGTCTGCAAATTCCAGTATTACTCAGAGATCTGGCTCGGTTGCTCCACTTGAAATTCCTGGAGTTCCTGTTGAAAGTCATACTACATTGCAGCCGACACCCAATTTCCTTGCCTCAAAGGATGTAACTTTAGAGCTGCAGAGAAAGCTAGACGATTCTCACATTTCACGTAATCAACAAGTCATTATACCTAGTCATCTACATGTTCCTGAAGCTGGAAAGCTGGGGTTTTGTTTTGGAAGTTTTGATGCTAGCTTTGGACTAGACACATCCTGCGGTGATGCTTCTAGGAGTAACGAGAGTCCATGTCGGTCTAAATCTTCCAAGGCTGTTGAGGAACCTGCTAAGGAGCAATCTTCAAGGTTTCTCTCGCCTAACTTCTGTTTCAGTCACTGTTTTGCCTGATTATTTTTATTTTTAATTTTTCACCGGTTCGAGAGTTATCCGATTTCATTCAGTGTACTGCGGTACTGATTATTAGTTACTGTTGACATTTAATTTCCTTTTCCTTTTTCGGAAATTCAGCGTGCTTTAGATCAATGAAATTCCCTGTCCAATATATGTGTGGTTAATTATGAACATTGCTGTTCTTTCTGTTGAAAGATCAAGTATAGACGTAGTTCATATTCAGTAGGCTGAGAATGATAGGATGATTTTTGAGTGACAAATGAAATGTGTATAAGCTCATTAAGATCAAAAGGTCACTGTCTAGTCTTCTAAATATTCTGCTGTTTGGAGAGTGAATAAATTTTTTGCCAGGTTTAAGTGCTCTCTATAGCCTACAAAATGACTTCTACTTGAAGGTCTAGAACAATGTATCACAATTCTCACTGTCCTATATGTGAGAGATTTCTTGTATTCATGCTGATGTGCATTTCAGTTAAAAGTTTCATGCATGCTTTAGTTTTTAATTGACGTATGCCACCATGTATTTTTCCTTTCCTAAATATCACACCTTTATTGATTACAGCCATCAGAATGGATTGGTAGCTGCAGAGGATACAGAAAGAAAATATCCTTATATTTCCCAATCATCTTCTCATGGACCCGAAAATTTTCCATCCAGTGATGTTGAAGTTTCATCCTCTGTTGCTCAAGAATATGTCGAGTCCAAGCAGGAGGTTGCTCCCAGAATTCATCAACATCCTCTGGCTCATACTTCAAACTACAGCTTTGGTTTTATGCCACCAATATTGAGTAGCCACCTTGCACCCTTGGAAAGTTCTGAATCTCAAGCTCGTGATGTTCCTACTTTATCAGGCTTTGTTGTTTGTCTTAAATGTCATTTTTTTGTATTTCTATTATCTTTTAATTTTCTACTCTGATTTGTTTTAAATATCCTACTGTTTGTTCATTAATTTAGAATAGTTGTGATGTATCTTTCTAGTGTCTGATTATTACTTCTTAAACTTACTGTGTATACATTTGCGCACTGTGCACCTGCATGTAACTCTTTAATCAGTTAGTAGCAAAGCATTTGATTTTAAATTTATTCTATTTACAGGCTCAGCAATCATTTGATCTAGCAAGCTATTATGCACAATTCTATCGCCCTGATGCGGATAGTGATGGCCGCACTTCACCTTTCAATTCCACTGGAGCTGCGACCAAGTACAATGAAAATGCTGCAGTGGTCTCTTCACAGATTTCTCCGTCACCTCAAGAGGTTTGGGCTTTAAGTCCCTAGTGTTTTCATTCATATTCTTGTTTGTGCTATTTGTGATGTACAAAACAACTGTATTGTGATTGGCATAAAAAAGGGTATTAGTTCTTTTTTCTTTTTGTATTTGTTTGCTTTGACATCATAATCAGACTCTTAAAAGAGCTCTGGATCTTTTAAATTTTTAAGTTATTTATGTTTTAAGATATTAATATTGTTAAAATTTGTCTCGCCGCATCTATTTTTCCGTTAAGAAGTGCAATTGTAAGTTTGCCAATGATTTGCGTTGTCATCTGTAGTTCTGATAATTGATTTGTGTTTTTGGGTATCCTCGCAACACTGGGCCTGTTCTCCCCTTTGGTAATTTATATACAGGATATCAATTGAAATATTCATCTGCAGATCTCTTCATGTCATTATGCAGTTAAAAATTTCTGAGTTGTTTGAAAAATTTGGTAATTCTCTCTTCTAGTGCTGTACATTTTGTTATAATTGTCCAAACATGGTAAAGAATCACCTTGAAAGACTGAGCACTTAGTCAAACATCAATCTCTCTATATCAACCTTTTTTCTATATCAGTGTATGCATGTAAGATGAACCCTGGAGTGTAGCAAATGTTAGAATAGCTTCATTCAATAAGAGATGTACTTCAAAATTTGAGTGTATACTAATTTATGCTTATAGACTATCTATCCTGCGTGACCCTTTAAAGTGGTAAACATAGTCTTATTGAGCCACTAGGCTTTTAATTTGGTAAATAGTGAAGAATGTTCTTGTTCTTCCATGTATGGACATAACCTGCGCAGTGACAAACATTGAAGCGAGTTGTGCCGTAAGTTGTAGGAAATCTCTTGGTATCTTGCGACTTGCATTATTGTAATACACTCCCGAAGCTTACAGGTTGATGTGCTCCTTACATGAGGCCTTCATTTAAAGCCTCAAAGCATATACTTGGTATTTGTCAAGGCTTACACTTGGACATGGTGCAGTGCATAGCTCGAGGCACAATCATCGGGAAATCTGAAGTGTGCCCTCATTTGTCTTGCTGTCTTTTGGAATTTTGTTAGTAGTATTGTTTTGGGTTTGTCTTTTATAGTTTAAACGGTTTAAGGGTTTTGAGCTATGTTAAATACAACTCAATTTTAAAACCTAGGAAAAAAATGAACAAGTGCAGCAGTTGTGCAACAGCCTCCTGCAACTAAAGCGTGATACACCCATTTCCAAATTGAAGTTGCAAGTTTTGAGCGGCAGACAGCCAATGATAAGAGACCCACGACACATATATTCACACTTTTTTATTTTATATTTTTTGTCTTGTTCTCTTCGTGGTTTTGTTTTCTTTTCTGCTAAAGTCAAAGGAAAGCAAAAATTTTTAATAGTTAGTCAGTTCTAGGCTTTCAGTTCTTGTTATGTGATCATGATTTTGTTAATTTATTGTTTACTACTTTAGCAATCCATATAAAGCTTCAATTTGCAAATGACACTTAATTTTGCTGTAATGATTAAATGGTTTATGATTTTATTGGTTTGTTGGTTTATGTTGAGGGTTACTCCCCATCTGGCTAGGAAAAATATTTAGCCTTTTTTTAATTCTGATGTCCTGTCCATTCAAATCATTTTATGGTTTCCCTGTTCTGTACATTACTTCACATCATGTGAGACAGATTGATTAGGTTGGTGGTGGGTAAATTGAAAAGAGCTACCAGACTTTGGTCTATGCTTTAGCACATTCTATTAGGATATCATTTCTCACAAGTCACTTTTTTTCTGTTTCTTTCTAAGACAAGATTAAATGGCAAAGGCACTTGAGAAGTTCGCAAAATTTGAGTTGAAAACACCTCTGTATTTATTTAGGGGTTATTTAGTGAATTAATGTTATTGACATAAATGGTATTGTGGAGGTCTGAGGACCCTGTGTGAGTGTTGTGTTCAGTTTTGGACTTGTGGATAATGCCAACAATTGTTAAGTAGCTGTTTCATTGCATTGATTTTAGCAAGGGGGATATTATGGTATTTGGAAAAGAAAACACTCTTTTGGTACTTCTTGGGTATTGAATTGAGCAGCTGTTCTGCCAGAGATTCCAATAATTGGACTAAAAAGCATTAGGTTGTCAAAGTGCATATACTTCTCTTCAGGCATGCTATTTGCTTCTGACGTTCTTCTGGCACAGCACATAAACGTTCGAACCTTCCAAATTGCCCTTGTATGTGTATTGTCTAGTTGAGTCATGACTCATAATTCATTCAAGAATCTCATATCATTGAGTGTCCGAAATCTTTGATCTGAAAGGTATCCCAGATGTAGACGTGATGAATCTCTTTGGATAAGTTCTTCTCTCAACCTGTCAACCACAACATTCCATGTTAGTTTTGCTCCTCTCTGACTTCTGACATGTTTCTCCTGGGATCACATCTCTGTTGTGAACATGATCTATTTTAGGTCTAACCAAGACATGTCCCAATAATGTAGAACGAAATCTTTATGGCAAAGTTACTACAAGTGTGATGTATTATCTTTGAGGCATAAACATGGACGCGGGACATGGACACGATGCGTAAACATGGAACGTAGTTTTTCAGAGAAGGACGAGGACATGTTGATTGAGGTTCTTTAACCTTGTCCCTAGCATCAAAAATAGACATGCTCCGTGGCTTGTTGGGCATATGCCCCAATTCTTGGACATATGTCCCACATGCATTAAAATATACATATTTAAAATAAGATACTCTTGGTGGTATGTCAGACACTTGTCTTGGCATGTCCGAGTTCTTTTGGCCTCCAATATGTGTCACCTACAATCCATTGTGGGAGAGAGTATTCATGCTGAATGTATTTATATTTTCTGCAAACGTCTGTTCTGAAACAGCTCACATAAATTATAGTAATTCTTCCTATTTTTAAATGTTGATTGACAGTATCGTTGCAGTCAAATTTTTGAGATTGTGGTAGCAAATCAAATCCTTTTATTTGGTACAAGTAGAATTATATTCTGGTATTCGGTTTCCTTACTGTTCATTCTAGAGGTGTGGTGTCTAATCAATAATAGTGGAGCCAAAACTATGTATTTGCCCACTAATTCACAGTGTGAAGCCAATTATGTATTTGCCACTAATGTTTGTGACGTTTGATGATATGAGAATGGATTTGTGTGGAAATCATATCTTGTTGGAATGCTCATAGCTGCTGCTTTAAGCATCTCAAAATGTTTGTGGTTGGCAGTGCTAGGCTAACCACAATTGATTTTTATGCTAGAGCGACATGAAAAAGTTACTTCTGGTTGGATTGTGGTTTAGTTCGCATCTTTCTACAGCTCTATCTAATCTTACACCCCTTGGTTGGAAAACTGATTTTTATTTCCTATTTTTCTGTCTTCTATATATGTATCTCAATGGGATTCTGGCTTACTGCCTGTTACTGTTACCATTTTCCTTGACAGTTTATGGTACGTACTTTGTTTTCTGATGGTCCTATCTTTCAATTACAGAGTGGTGTCCCTCTGGTTTTATCCACAGCAGCTCCAACATCAGTTGCAACTCAATCTTCTGGGGTTATGCAACCTCTTCCAGTCTTACAACAACCAACTGGGGTGCACCTGCCACATTACCCTCCAAACTACTTTCCATACGGCCCTTATTTGTCTCCATTGTATGTACCACAACCAGCAATTCATCAATTCTTAGGCAACGGTGCATTTCCTCAGCAACCTCAGACTGGAACTGTTTATCCAACTCCACCAGGGGTGGCTGCCAAATATTCGATTTCTCAATATAAGCAAGGACCTAATACAGGAAATGCGACTCACATTGGAATGCCTGGTAACTATGGAACATATGGCCTTCCCTTGCCCAACTATGCATCCAGTTCCGCTACAACGGCTGATAATTTAAGTAGTGAAGATCTTGCTCCTCAATTTAAGGAAAATAATGTGGTCAGCAGCCAACAGGTTCGCTCTTCCTGAATTTTTCATAATCTTTCATAACAATAACAATGTTCACTGATATTGGAAAGTAATTTTGTGGCCTCTTGCTCTGTGTGTGGGGGCATGATCTATTGTTTTCATTCTCGATTCTCGAGAATTTTTATGAAAGTCTTTCATTTGCTTCTCTTCGATGGAAGTTTGATTTTCCCATAATGTATGAACTGGAAGTGGAACAAAAGGTATGATCCATGCATATTGATATGTCTGTTCCATTGATACTGAAAAGTAGTTTCTTGGAGTTCCAGATAAACATTTTAGGGTACTTTAAGTTCACTTTAGTACCTTCAAAGGGAAGAGTGAAATACAACTAGTGCCAGATATATCTTGAGAAAGGCTTTATGATGAAACTCTTAACTTGATCTGAGTAATTGCTATTGTCAAAGAAATAATTATTTTACCAAAGCAAGTGAAGCTGTCAGTCTGCCTACTCTAGTGCATTCCCGATAGCAATTCCAGATTCTTGGCTGAGGGACATCGCACTAATTTATCTATGCGTGCTTGCACTCGTGTATTTTTTGTTTGTGTTATTATATATGGTGCCATACTTGTACAAGAAAAACACAACGTTGGATTTGATTTTAATGCACTCATTGCAGCTGTAGTTCCATTTAGTTTCCAGTTTTGTAGATTTTTATAGGTCTCTGATGAAGGTGAGTGTTGGGATGGTAAAGGACACGATGTTCATAAGATGAATATTTTGGAAATAAGAATATGCTATGATTTGTGTCATACTCAAATGGATAAGATAAGAAATGCAAATATATGGCAACAAGTGGAGAAGGCACTGATTAAGGATAAGGAAATGATGATTTGGGTGGTTCGGTCATGTTTTGCTTTGATTTTAAGCTCCCGTTTATAAAAGAGAAAGAGTGATGCTATTCCCGTAGAGCTAATTAAATGAAAGAGGGTTAGACCAAAACTAACATAGCATGTTGTAGTTGCTAAGAATAGGGTTGAACAACGAAACCGTCAAACTGCAAAATCGAACTGAAACCGTTGGTTTGGTTCCACATGGATTTGTCAACGTTTTGGTTTTGAACCGAACCAAATTGCTTCGAAATGATTTGGTTTAGGTTTCAACATTTGCAAACCGTTTCAAACCGTCAAATCATTTACCAAAAAAATCTGAAAATAAATTATTCTAAATTTTATTTAACCCAATTAAAATTCAACACATTTCAATTAAAAAAATACATTTATATTAGACATGATTCAATTAAACTCAAATCGATAATTATATATCTCAATTAATTAATTAATCATATCCAAATATTCATAAGTCATCATAACTGTGAATGTAAAACATTCAAATTGGGTAAAGTGTTAAACAACTGATACTAAACCACATTTATCGATTCTCCATTACAATTGAGTAGAGAATAAAATCTAGATTTTAATTCAAACGTGCACATTTCATTTCTTTGTAATAATTTTCTCAAATTTTGCTCAAATTCAAGTCAAAATAACAAAATTCTTTTATTTTTTTAGTAATTATTTTTATATTTTTATTGATAATTATATTGTTTTATTCTAATAATTGTCTCTTTTCTGTCTCCTTAAAGTAATTCACCAATATTTAGATTTAGTAGAAGTTTTGAATGATTCACAAAAAATCATAGTAGCTAGATACTATTGTATTTAAATTTTTTAATCATTTTCTTTTATTAATTATTTTACGTCATTTAATTATAATCAATGAATTTATGTACTATATTTTATATTTATGAAGAAAATGAATCATGTATTACACTTGCAGATGGACGCCATTAGTATCGACTAAGAGTTTAAAATATTTATATCATGTTGCATTATAATGATTATAATTATATAACTTTGATTTGTACTTTTTTAATAATACAATTTATGTTTTAACATAAAATTTTAGACTAATATTTATGATTTAACTTATTTGATATATATTAATTTTTTTTGTTAAACTGTGGTTTTAAACTGAACCAAACCGAAAAAAATGGTTTGGATTGGTTTGGTTTAGAAATCGAAGTGGTTTGCTTTGGTTTGAAAAAATTTCAAATCGCTTTTAAATGGTTTGGTTTGAAAATTTGTCTCAAACCGTTCAAATTCGAACTGTATTCACCCCTAGCTAAGAATTTGGTTCCTTCAAATCTTTTAAGTAAATCTAACGATGGACAAAGTGGAATGGCACGTAAGCATTTATGTAGCCAACTCAAAATTTACTAAGAACGGAGCTTTATTCGTTGTTCTTGATTACTAATGCCACACTGGATTCTTGGTCTGAGCTTATAAACCTTCACCAAAGTTTTAAACCATTCCATGTGTGATTGTTAGCCCAGTTATGCAGCTCAATCATCGAAATAAAGATCAACACCTTAATCTAATTTCTTCGATTCCACAAAATACCGAAACTGTGAAAAAATTGGACGAACTTCCAAGTTTTATATAATTAATCAAAAGACGACAACCGAAAATAAAAACATAAAAAGTGTTTAGATAGCAGCACTCAGAAATAAAAAAACCTAAAACCTAATTAAGGGAGGAAATTACCATAATTTAAGAGAAATATATATATATATATATCAATTAAGGGAAATAAAAATATTAAGGAGTTTTTATCATTCTCCTCTGATTGGAGAAGATTTACCCTTGAATCTTGCAGCAATCTATCATCCAATGTTGCTTTAGCTAAATTTCCATCATCAACCGAATGCATAACACCATTGAATTCACTTTTAAATAAAGCATAATAGTCTCCATGTGTGATTGTTAGCCCAGTTATGCAGCTCAATCATCGAAATAAAGATCAACACCTTAATCTAATTTCTTCGATTCCACAGAATACCGAAACTGTGAAAAAATTGGACGAACTTCCAAGTTTTATATAATTAATCAAAAGATGATGACCGAAAGTAAAAACATAAAAAGTGTAAAGCATAATAGTTTTCACTACGATTGTCGGACCCAAAATTATTAATGCCTTGATTTGGCACAATCTACTCAATGCTGAAAAATTATTAATTTCACCAACCGATACACTAATCAAATCACCCTTTACCTTACCACGTCAATAAGTTCAAATTCATGGTCTCCAATAAAAGCTTAAATCATGATGAACAACCCAAATTCTTGAGAACTCAAACAAACTTGTAGTAAAACAGTGCGTGAACCCTTCCCAGCTACTACTAAAGAAGTCTTCTGCAAATTCCAAATTCATAAGTGGGATCCCTATTAGAAACTTACCTGTCAAGGAGAGATCAACCTGCCTTCATGCCATCTTTTCCAAATGAATGCTTTCCTAATTTATTTTTACCTATATAATATGCTGTTCAATCTAATCCCTAGTTTGATTTTGATTTTCTGAGAACTAATTTTGTGAAAATGATTTTTTGAAGAATGTGTAGTTATAAAGTAGGAAAAAGTTATGGGTTTAAGTGAATTTTATATATATATATTTTTTTTTTATTGAGAGAATGTATGGTTAAAAATGAGTTTGGGGAAAAGTGATTTTGAATAAATAAAAATCAAACCAGGGCTTAGCATTTTTCTATAACTCTACATCATCGAGGTCCAAATTGTACATGCATTGGAATACTTATCTGTTTGATTAACGCATCTTTCATATCCAAACTATTATCATTATTTTATAAACCAGAATTTACCTTGATTACTTGTACAATTCCTCTAGAATCTTGGCATTGGACTGGTCATAAAAAAATTGGTAGACCTAACTCAGCTCCCATAGCAGGATTGAATAGAGAAAAAAGATCAATGTTGAATTCCATCTCAACATTATATCTAAAATCCTCTCTGACAATAGCCTGTTTATGATCTCACTGACCTTGCCTGACAAATGCTCTTCTAACCATCTCACCCCTCATTGGAACCCTTTGATTGGGCGCATGAGGTTGTTGGGCTAGGCCACCCATTATATCCAACATGAATTCTTGCTTGGCCAGAGTAGCAATTTGCTGCTTCAACAAGTCCATCTGTTGTCACAACTGTGTCATCTCTTCTACAAGCATTTCATAAACGGCTGATCGTGGTCTTGAAGGCATCCTAAGGAGCATATCTTGACTCTAATACCAGCTGATGCAACGCAAGCATCAAAATAAAGATCAACACCTTAATCTACTTCAGTTGATTCCCTCATAATACCAATAAGATCAAAAATTAGAACTTCCGAATTTTATATAACTAATAAAAAAGACTGAAAATAACAACACTAGAAGTGTTTAGATAGTAATCCTAAGAAATGAAAATCGAGGAAAGCTAAGAGCGACAATAATCTTAATTAAATAGGAAAAGAAATAATTAATAAGTTCAATTAAGGAAAATAAAATATGGGAATATTTTTCCTCTCGTTCTCCTTGGTTTGAGAAGATTCAGCCTGAAAACTTGCACCACTTTTTCTTCCTAGGTCTTGTAACAATGGTAATCAATCATCCAAATATTGCTTTAGGTAAATTACCATCATCGGCTGAATCCATAACTCCACTAAATTTACCTTTTTGATAAAGGATAATAGATATTAACAATGATACCCAAATTATATTATCTTGATTGGCAAAATCTACTCAATACAACCTATCAATACACCAACCAAACCACCCTTTTGTGATGTTTTCCTCACCACATCAATAAAGTAAAATTTACGATCCCCGTAAAAGCGTCGATCATGACGCACAACCCAAAATCTTGAGAACTCCAACAAACATGCTGTAAAACAATGAGTGAACCCACCCTAGCTGCCGCTAAAGAATCAATTGCAAATGTCTAATGCAAGAGTGGGGTCCCCATTGAAAAAACTTGCCATGCAAGGAGAGATCAAGAACAAAGCAAAAACCTGCCTTCACGACCTTTTTCCACAAGTTCTTTCCTAACACATTTTTACCCTTAACATGCTAAAAAATCTTAGAATTCTTTTTTAATTCTTCATCATCATCTATGTCCAAAATACGTGTTCTGTAATATTTATCTGATTGATTGCACCCCTCTTTCATATCCAACTATCATCATTATTAAATAAACCAGAATTTAGCTCAAGTACTCGTCATAAAAATTAGCAGATCATTATTACTTTAACCTAAATTGGCTCCCAAATCAGGACTGAATGGAGGAAAAAAATCCATGTCGAATTCCATCTCAACATCAGATCTGAAACCGTCTCCCACAATAGCCTCTGTAAGATCGTGTTGACCTTGCCTGGCTTCTGATCCTGTGCAACCATACCATCCATCGTTGGAACCCTTTGACTGGCTATGTAGGGTTGCGCTCGTAGGCCACCCTAGGCGTCCAACATGAATCCTTGTTGAGCCATCAGAGTAGTGATTTGTTGCTTCAACACAACCATGTCGTCTCTTCCTGTCACTGAATCTCTTCTGCAAGAGTTTCGTCAGCAGTTGATCATGGTCTCAAAGGCATCTTCAAGAGTGTGACGTTGACTCTCCTACCAAATGAAGCAGTGCAAGCATCAAAATAAAGAAAAACACCTTAATCTAATTGTGTTGATTCGGCAGAATACCAGAACAGAGAGAAAATTGGAAGAACTTCCAAGTTTTGTATAATTAATCAAAAATTTGGGCCCTGATGGTGGAACTGGTTGGGGGGAAGAAAACGCCTCCCTTTTGTGGCAGTCAATACTTTTTAAAGAATTATTTATTGTACTTTCGGCACAGTACAAGTCTTGGAAAAATATTGTATAATTTGATCTCATGAACGGATATTACCGAAATATGAATTTTCACGAATAAATATTTATCCCTGAAGGAAAGTATACAACAACTTTTTTGCTATCAATTATGTACTAATATTTGATACATTATATTATATTGGTTTTGCATGACATTGTTTTGGACCAAAATTAATGGGCATTTATATTAATTTTATATTATGTATGAAATTAATGGTTATTAAAACAACATAACGACTGAAAATAACAACAATAAACGTGTTTAGATAGTAATCCTAAGAAATGGAAACCCTAAAACCTAATTGAAGATGCAAATCACCTTAATTAAAAAGAATAAGAAATAAATTAAAAGTGCAATTAAGGAAAACGAAAGATTTGGATATTTTGTCTCTATCACCTCCCCTCCTGGCCTGCCTATGGGAAGAGTGCTTTAGTGTTGGTGACTTTGCTACTTTGCAGATTGATTGTTCAGGTGTATGATTACTATACGCCTAGCTTTTGAATGTGTTTTCTTTTTCCTCGACTTATGGGAAGATTGCACTAATGTTGGTGGAAATTTACTTATTTGCAGGGTGAAGGTTCAAGTTTGTGGTTTACTACACCTAGTCGAGATATTTCAACCTTGCAGGCTGGTTCCTTTTACAATCTTCCTCAAGGTCAACTGGCTTTCTCCCCAACACAGCCAGGCCAAGGAGCGTTCACCGGTCTCTTCCACTCAGTACAGCCAGTGACATCACTTCACCCTCTTCCGCAACAATCCCAATCCATTACCACCCCTATTGATATGATGAGACCAACTGCTAGTGTTCATCATCAGGCACAAATAAACTGAGTGTAAATCCCAATCTCAGACAGTTTATTAGATTTCCACAAGTTTTGGTTTAACAGGCAAGATCAAGAAGGCGAATGCCAGAACAGAGGATATATTTATGGAAGAACGCCATTAAAATTGGCCAATGGTGCTCTTTCTGGTTTACATATAATCAATAACAGGCTTTTCAAGTTAATTACATTCTGGATTTTGTCTATAGTTTCGGGTTTTTATTTAAGGCAGTGAGAGTTTAGAAGTACTTGCATTTTCTTTGCATCAGTTTGGCGCACTGATGTGAGGTTTATAGGAGTTGTCCCACTATTAGTGTTTTATTTTCCGAGTTGTTTTGAGTCACTCTTTGCTGTCTTACCTGTATAGCGAACTTTGATTCTTCATAGGAAGATGTACTTGGAACTGTTGTAACTGATTTTGTATGCAAATGGCTGATTCAATTGTGGCGAAATTGGCATCATCTTCAAGTAATTTATCTGATTTGAGTATTGAACGGCATCCGTAGTGCAAAATGTTCATTGTTTTGTCAGTCGGTCAGAGAATAATAGTAGTGTTGCAGTGACAGAAGTGACACTGGTAAAACTTTACTCAGAATACTGCAGTTACTCTGAGGGTATGTTTCTTTTCATTGCGTGTTTCTTGATTCTTTGCCCACTCTTTATTACTGCTCAAGCGTCGGGTGGGATGGACTGATCAAGTGATCATTGCCATCACCGTGGGGGCCGGAAACAGCTTGTCTTGGGCTGTTGTTAAGGATGGAAAAACTTGGGTTGATGGGATGTCATCAAAGATGCAGTCCTTTCATGCAAATATGTATACATTACAGTTGAAAAATGCTATTGAAAATGATATATTATATTCTATAGATTCTATAAATATTAAAAAATTATGATGGAAAAGAATGTTATTGAAGATGTAACTATGACGATTAAAGAATGTTGTTAAAGCCAAAATTATAACGCGAAAAGGATAATTTTACATGTACATTATGTGGAATTTCATGACTGTTTTTCAACACTTCAATACTGTTATGTTACTTATACATTATGGACACCTTACGAACATCGTAAAGACATGTAGCATAACCCATGAGAAAAATGTTATTAACCTTAAGGCAAGCCAACAAGAATTTACAGTATTTTGGTAAGATACTGTCAAATATAGTGGGTCGTCCGTCCCACCCCGTAATACTCCAGATATTGAATTTGAAATCTATCAGGGTGGAATTAGGAGGGGTGAGTCTCTTCTAATAAAAGTAAATAAAAGAATTTGTGGAGTAAAATTGAGAAATTTCCGCAACCTCAAAAAAATCAAACCTAGAAATAGTCAAAACGACACATTTCCGTCACATTTTACATTCCAATAAGAGAAGAGTGGAGAAATCCCAGAGATCATAAACAACAGAACATCCTTGGCATCATCACATATTCATTCCTGGTAATTCTTGATTTTATTTTTTCAATAATAAAAATACATTTGTGGTATGACATATCAATGATTTCTCGTTGAGTTGTGTGTAGTCTTTCATAGTTTGGGAAGATTGAATTCTCATGACTTTGATTAGTAAAAATTTCATATTCGTTACGATTTATACACTTCTAAAATGATCTTAATCTTCAATATAATTCCTTGTAAATAATGATTTTAACCATTTAGAAAAAAAGAATGCTCGTATTATCGATGGATTTTCAATTTGTTTATGTCAATCTCTGTATCTCGTTTATAAATTATGGTTTAGTAGGATTAGAATGGTCAAATAGGTCATGTCAGGGCTCGACTTTAACCTAACATGCCTATAAGCTCAATTTATATTGTGTTACTCACATGGATCAATAATTTTGTATTGAACTTTTATAGGGAAAAAAAACAGCTTAATCCCCTTCGATCTCAACTACGAAATTTTGTTAGGCTGTTAGTCTTATATGGCCCACCAATGCCAAGCACTACATGATCAAGATTTCCCTTGGGCTACGTCATGATATATGGTTATGTTGCCCACGTAGATTGGGGTTTGTTTGTTCACGATGGTCATTCCAACTTTACACTTCTAACTTTTAAATCAACGCCTCATATATTGTGGAATAAACTAGACGTATATATAATAGAATGTGATATATTTGGTCACAAAGACGGTATCAACTACATACCTCTTAACTTTCTTTCAAATCAATGCTTCATATGTGGTGGATAAAATGTACATAAAGCATGTGTAAAAGACCTGCTTATGCACAAGTTTATTCGTCATGCAGGTTTCATTAGTAGCGGCACGCTCGGTGAGGTAAATAGAAAATTACTTAAGAATTAAAAGAAAATAAGCTAACCAACTTTCGTCTTAATCCAGCACAAGAATGGCAGAACATTCAAGAAAAGGTGAAGAAAAGCGCGAGAAACCGAAGATTGTTGTGCCTGAATTATGCCTAGATGCTTTGAAAAATGAAATTCACTCAACACCATCTTCACCAGTTACCCTGATGAAGACATCAAGTGTGAGGCATAATTGCTTGTGCTCCCCAACTACACACGCTGGCTCGTTCCGGTGCCGCTACCACCGGAACCACGGTCTGACTCGGAGTAGCATATCTGTTGGTTCTAAGCTTTCAGAGTTAGCTGGTAAATCTACTCAAATCTGTGATGCATTCAACAATCATCTCATTTCTGGGCAAAAACAAGGGTCATGATCCATCATGAATGCATCAAGACTTGTTTGTTTAATACCTTGTGCAGTTTTTTCTTATTTTTTTTCTAGAAAAAAATAATTCTGCATATGACAGATCATGGTTGTTGAAGTTTCTGATTGATTAGCATCCATGTACAAGTTTCTAATTAATCTTAAATGTATCAAGACTCATCAATATTAGATTTGTCTCTGAATGGTAAACTAAATATGCATCCATTTTCACCTGTCTGAGACAAAGAACTGTCTAGTTTTCAATCTTTCTTCAAAGGTTTTACCAATCATGACAAAGTTATACATGAAATCATCAAACCTACAGATGATGCTCGATATTAAACTTTCCCAAAGCTAGGAGATTTGCCACCTTCATCCCGTCCGTGAACATATTGTTCAGCTGCGTCTTGCAGATTGTTGAATAACCTTAATTAAACCAAAACTGCCACAGTAAAATAATTCATTCCTGACTATTTAGTGGTTGGCACTCCCAAATTATCTAAATTTTTCCACCTAGCCACAGAGAGGTAGAATGCTGCAGAACATCAATAATACTAGGAAGATGGTTTTCATAAAGCCTGAAATCAAAATAAAATCTCAGGATCAGAGCGTCAGAAGCTTTTCCATGTACAATATTGGTCAAAGAGACCCGTCACTACAAGAGGACGCAAAAGACGACGCTAAACATACGCATCAAAAAATACAAGATGAAGCATACAGTCTTGTACATTTTCGTACACTACAAAGATGTGCAGTGGAACTTCCTTGAGAAGCATCTTGGTAAGTTACTCACATAGGACAGGCATCATCCTCGACTTCTTGAGGCATCATGTGATTCCTGCAAAGAGGACAGGTGACATTCCAGTACTTCAACCACTTCTCGAGGCACGACTTGTGGAAAACATGGCCACAAGACAGACAGTTAACCTCTGCATTTTGCTTGAATTCAGACAAGCAGACCGAGCACTCTTCCTTGGGACAGTCGCGAATAATCATTGAGTCATAACGTACAGCAGGTGTTCGGCTTTGGAACTCCTCCACATACAACTCAGAGGGGGTTCTACGACATTCAACGGAGTCTGAGGATTCCAGTGAGAATTCTTCCTGTGATGCTATATGGATGCCCATGACATGAAGGATAGAACGAAAAATCTCCTTGAAAATGGAAATGGATATGGCTGTGTTCACCAGAATTACACAGAAGACTCCCACATCAGCTGGAGTTGAATATGATGACAGACCCATTTTGGATTTGTAACCTAATGGAAAATCAGAAAGTATCGACTCGGTTCAAACAACAAGAATACAAGTCACAACTGGAGAAGTTTATAATCATTTTGAAGGCAGCTCATGATATTTTATAACTTTGATGGAAGAATAAAGAAATGAGGATAGTTAAAACGTGATTTCGTTTAAGATTTAGAGATTTACACGTGTTTATCGTTAGAAAGCAGATTGTATACAAGTTTTTCCAATATACATGGAAACAAAATACAATAGATTCACAAGCTTACCTCGTGTGCAAAACAAAGCTACTGAAAAACTGTTCCCACCTAGATCAATATGAATTGACAAATAACGGTGAAAAGGAACATTAAGCAGAGATGATAAATTGATTTTACTATACATTTAATATAGAACAGTACATTCATTAGCCAAAATCCACCTTTTCTTTTTCACTTTCTTCGTATTATTTGAAATTTCCCCTATTGTTTGACAATTTATATGCAAAAAAATAATAATAAAATCCAGAAAGTTGAGTCTAATGATGTGAAATTGGACAGGTAAGAAGCAATTTCTCAATTTCTCTGTCATTTGAAGTCCAAAAAAGGAAACTCACAAAATATAACCTAATTCAAAAGCAGATAATTTGTTCACAATCAATAATAAACTAAACAAAAACCTTGACGAAACTGGAAAAAAATTAAATCTCTGCAAGATCATACGATGAAACCCATCAAGAAATGCTCAACAAAGAAGTCAATATTGTTCCCCAAAACATAAAAAGTATACATGTACCATGAATTAAAACCCGTGAGAAAAAAACTTACTGGTGAGGGATTAGAGATTAAAGATTACAGATTGTTTGTAGAAAATAAGAAAGATGAAGATTTAGACAGGTGTTGACAATGGTAGATAAGAGTCTGCTCCTAGTACTGTCAAAAACTCCTGACCTCACCAAAAATTATTGCCTCATCCATGTTCCTTGCTAGTTGTATACAATATTTTTAGCGATAATTACGGGGAAGGCAAGTGGAAACTTGTACTAATTTTAGTATAATTATATTTATACAATATTTTTCTATAAATGCATCACATTTTATTTACAAGAAAAATTTTTGCACACTTTTATTGTCATTCTTAACGATTTTCATTCAAACATTCGACTAATTTTGTTTAACTTTGATATAAGTTGTTTATTTTGATTATTAAAAATACGAGAATGAAATATGTCTTTTTGACTAGCATAACAAAAAGTTTGGAAGAAAATCGTCTTTGTAGACAATAATAGAAAGTTGATGAGAAAAAAAATTTTAAAAAAAGTTTAAGAACATAAGCATAAAAATAAGAAAAAAAATTAGGGATATGCATAGTAATTAAAATGTGGAGTAGTTAACAAAAATTGTGGTGTAAATATATTTTGTTTTATATATTACAATCAAAGGTGTAATATTACTTAAAATAATATAGTGATTTAGGACTTGTTTGAAAGAAATTTTAAAAAGTCGTAAGTTATTTTTAGGTTAAAAATTAATTTTAAATAATTTTCTGAAACTATTTTGTTTGACTAGAAGAGTTTTTTAGGAAATTGGTCTAAAATAACTTTTTCAAAAAGCTTTTCTACAAAAAGAAGAAACAGTTTTGTCAAACGGATCCTTATATTAGGTTTGATTTTATATCAGGTTTGATTTTCCTTTTTTATGTCTTTTTTTTTTTTTTTTTTTTTTTTTTTTTTTTTACTGCATTATAACTTTTTTCGGAGAAACCCTTTTAAATTTTACGGTATAATTTATCTCTAGTTAATGGAAATAGTCTAAAAGGTTGTGTTTTTATGAATAAGAAGATTATTACTCGTCATTAAACTCTTTTTTCATTTACTTAATTTAAAGTTTTCCTTCATTATGGACCAAGATGTTATAAAATTAAAGGCCCAAGGAAGACAATGCTAAAGAAAATAAGTTGGACACTAAGTTACAATAAGAACCATAGATTGAGGACTAATAGTGAAATTTTCTCTAAATTTTTACCTTGTAGAGTGGTGAACCAAACAATAATAGGTAGTGTCTGTTAAAAAAGTATTCATAATAGCTTCTATTAATCAAAAGCACGATACAAATTGAATTCTTTAGTCCTTATTTGGACTCCATTGAACCAAAAATACAATTTTTAAAATTTTATTTTCAATCACACATTCTTTAAAAAAATAATATTATACATAAAAAATTTCTCTATAAATACTCTACACTTATGTCGCCGCATGATATGATTATAGAACAAAGTAATGGATAGGAGTGTGCATTTGCTATGTGAATTGAGTTGGCAATTGGCATGAAGAGGTTGTAATGTATAGGGTATTCTATATTTCTATTATAGTTAATGAATTGTGTTTGTTAAAATAATATCTCAAGATTTGGTACATAGAATCTTTTAATTCATAACGCTCCTTTTGTACTTTAGATCTCATGATCTTTATGATATAAATCCATGGGACTCCACCTATATTTTTTTATAAAATCCTCACTATCTTCGTGGCATCCCACGTGTGGGATTCTACCTAAAAGTTTATATTTAAGTCCTTGGCTCCTATTTTCTAAAATTTATTTTTAATCAAATATTTCATGGAATTCACAATTTTTATAGAATACGGCTATTTCCATCCATATTTTTTGTAAGTACATCCCACTCTAAATTCATCCTTAGTAAAATTTTAAAAACTTACAAAAATACTATTTACATCCACGTCATATTCTAATCTTGTCCTTATTAAATTCATTCATTTAAATAATATATATATATATCCATATAAATTTTATGTATTCATTCCACTTTGTATATATCCCTAACACTTTAGATTCGCCCAATCCCTAAAATCATAAACTCTTAAACCAAATGAATTAAATAAGAACAAAGCTGAATTGATTGAACATTAAATTAACATGAAATAAATTCTTTGTTTATTGAAGTTTTGAGTATTAGAATGTTTCAAACAACAAAAGCTAAAGAAATAAAGAAGAAGAAAGTTTGATTTAAGCAAGCTGAATTTTAATAACTTTGTTGGCTACAATTATTCTTTTTTCTTTTCAGCGAGATTCTATCAAGGAATATATCAAGGGAAAGAAAATTTACCAGCCAGTGGTCAAGTACCTTGCCCCCGACCATCATACCACCAAGGACAGGGGTGACATCCACAATGAAGCCAATGGAGATGCTCCTGAAAGTAAGGTAATCCATATCCGCTGCCTAAAGTCTTTCCTCAAGAGGTCGATCATCCATAGCAGGAATGGACCTAAAAAGTCAAGTCACAAGATTTGGTACATAGAATCTTTTAATTTATAACGCTCCTTTTGTACTTTAGATCTCATGATTTTTATGATATAAATCCATGGGACTCCACCTAAATTTTTTTATAAAATCCTCACGATCTTCGTGGCATTCCACGTATGGGATTCTACCTAAAAGTTTATATTTAAGTCCTTGGCTCCTATTTTCTAAAATTTATTTTTAATCAAGTATTTTATGGAATTCACAATTTTTATAGAGTACTGCTATTTTGATCCATATTTTTTGTAAGTACATTCCACTCTAAGTTCATCCTTAATAAAATTTTAAAAACTTACAAAAATACTATTTACATCCACGTCATATTCTAATATTGTCTTTATTAAATTCATTCATTTAAATAATATATTTCCATATAAATTTTATGTATTCATCCCACTTTAAATATATCCATAAAGATTCACCAAATCTCTAAAATCATAAACTCTTAAACTAAATGAATTAAATAAGAACAAAGTTGAATTGATTGAACATTAAATTAACATGAAATAAATTCTTTGTTTATTGAAGTTTTGAGTATTAGAATGCTTCAAACAACAAAAGCTAAAGAAATAAAGAAGAAGAAAGTTCGATTTAAGCAAGCTGAATTTTAATAGTTTTGTTGGCTACAATTATTCTTCTTTCTTGATTAACTAATGAAATTGCATCAAATTTCGTTTGCATTTTTCGAAATCTGATATGATTCCCGACACAGAAATCACATTTAGGGCTACCATCACCTATAATTATATTCATGTATTTTTTCTCTTTCTATTAGGATTCTAGTTAAGCATAAATGAAAATAAAAACTAGTGGATCAATTTAGAGTTATGTAGTTTTATTTAATTTTGTTTATATCTATTTAAGTAAATTTACATAGGATTTAATATATAATAAAATTTAATTTTTAAAAGTGGATGTATATATAAAAAGTGTGGATGAAAATAGTGATACCTGATAAGAAATTATTTTCATCCTTGAAATACGCCACTGTTTAGCAATGAAGGATTTGTCGTCGGAAATCTAAATCATATAGATAAGTCACCAGATTGTTCAACAACAAAGCAATTATTGTCTCGTGCTCAGAGCCTGTCTACTATATGTACATGAAATGATACAAAAAGTGATAGAGTGTGCATATTCTATTGTTTTTTGAATAGTGTGAGAACTTTTTGTTGGAGGTATACAGCTAGAATTAGTCATTCAATTGAATGGGGGGAATTGAGGTTGCAGAAGGAGACGGATGAGGGAGAAATGTAAAGGATTTAGTATTATTCTTTATATTTTATTTTATTTGTTTTAAGGGGTTAAAATCTGTTTTGACTTTTGAAACATGATTGTTGTTGGAAAGTGCAATTTTTCATTTTCTTTGAATTTCGAATTAGGGGAGTTTTTAAATGGATATTGAGTACAATTTCCTAAATTTTTGTGTAATTACAAAGACGAGATTCTTTGTAATCAATTTTTTCTGTATAAATTCTTTGAAAATATTTTTCTTTAGTTTGACATGTAACCTAGGAGTTATAATCAAATATATCTTGTCGTTACATGTTATCAATGCATAATGTGACCTGTGATATATGACATTTCGATCTATAATCTGTTACCTGATAGCTGTAACCAAATACTTATCTAGTTGTGATATGTTACCAATGACATGTGACCAGTGATCTGGGAGTTGTAATCAGTTATATGTTTAGTTGTGACTTGTTATCCACTATAATGTGACCAAATACATGTCTTATTGTGACCTATTATCAATTCTATTGTGACCGGATACTTGTGACCAATGACATGTAACTTGTAACTGGTGACCTAGAAGCTGTAATTAGATATATGTCTAGTTGTGACATGTTATTTATCGGTCACAATTTCTCAAATTTCTTGCTCATGATAACAAATTTTATAAGCCACAACTTATTCACGATCACAAATTGGTCATAAGTTAATTTTCGATCACAATTTATCAAATTAATTACAACTTATTTCTCAATTGCAAATCGTAAATTTTATAGGTCACAACTTATTTCACGATCACAAATTATCAAATTAATTGGTTAAAACTTATTTCTCGATCACAAAAAATATAAATTGTCACAATTACAAATTTGGTCACAGGTCACATATTTTTAGGTCAAATGTTATTTATTAACCACAATTTACAACAACTCTTTCTCAAACCTATCCCTCCCCGCTCCTGCTCCCATTCCCACCACCACCTGCATCACCCTCAACACTTCAAAACCAGTACCACCTCAATCAAAACTACCATCATGATCGCCATCTCTACATCAAATCCTCCTCCACCTCCAAACCAACATCACCAACTACACCTCAAATGCCACATTAACCACCACCACCAAATAATTCACAAAATGCCTATTTTCTGCACTAAATTTCTTTCTACCACCGCAGCGCCACAACCTGCATCACCACCTCTACAATGAGAAATGAGAATATATACGAAGAAGAGAAAGCCTTGACGAAGAAAAGGAAGCCCAATGCAGATCTACAAAGAAGATGAAACAAGAATTTGGTGGTTTTATGCTTTGCAGAAGCTACCTTTCCCAATCTCATCTTAGCACATTTAGGATTGGTCCTGTGGTCAGGCAAGTGAGGCCTATGCCTCAGGCCCAAAACCATAGGGGGCATATTTTGCCCCAATTTTTTTTTTTTGATATTAAAAGAAGGGAAAAAATAGTTTTCTTTATTAATTGTGAGATGATTGAGATATTTGTTTGTTATTTTAATGGTAAATTTTAAGTTAGCAATATTTTTGCATAATACACCGTTGAATTTTATATTTATATTGATTTTGGAGGCATAATTTTTGAACTTAGCCTCGGGCTCCAATAATCATAGGATCGGCCCTGAGCACATTCATTCCCTTTCGAATTTCAGCAGAATAAAAAAGTCCCAAAAACACTAAACCAGTGTATCAACGATATTGTGAATATATGCATGTGAGAGAGAGATCTACGTTTTGAAGATTTTGAAACCAGTTAATCAACTTGCAAATCCGGGTTAATTACAAATCCTACCTTATTTGATAATATAATCAACACCTGATCTTTGAATAAAATTATTTAAAACTTGATTAATGATAATATAATTTTAATTCCATGTTTTCCTATAATTTCATTGCTCCAATGCTGTTTTGCCAACACGGGCTGTGAGCTCTTTGTGAAAAAATAAATTTTGTAATAATAACTTTTTGGAGATTGTGCAGTTAAAGAATAGGAAAAATTTTGGATTTACAAGTAAAATTATTTTATTGAAAGAATGTACAGTAAAAATAAGTTATGGAAAAAATTAAGTTTTTAAATTAATGAGGCTCTAAAAGGGGTTGAATCTTTTTTAACCGGTCCAAATCACTATTATTTTGTGAAATTTGAGCTAAATGGCTTCTGTAGTGGACTGGGCCATATAAACATCTAAGAGATGACAAATTTATATAATTTTCTCTAAATAAAATGTTGTTTTTACAATTATTTAAATTAGATTAAAAAATTGTAAAAAGAACAGTTTATTCAGAGCAAATTACATGAACTTTCCAGGCTATTGTATAAATTTTCTTATTTCACTCGCACACTACAAAACTTATTAAGAGGTTTAGCATAATCTCTCATACTTTGATTATTATCTGCATATCTAAAGAATTTGAGATTTTTCACATCAGAATATTAATTAGTCTAAAGTTAGGTTACATGTTTTCCTCCTAAATTTGTATTTTCAGTAAATAAATACTTTTATTTTGTCATGGTTAATTTAATTAAAAAGAAAAAAAAGGAAATTTGAAAACATTTCAAGTAGGAACTTATTTGTTCTCTAATTTTTTTGGGTAAATTTTGTTTTTCTGCACAATGTGCAACACATTATTGCCTTGTTGGATCCAGGAAGTTGAGAATAATTGCTAAGGAAGGCACCAGGTCTGTGGATAGCAAAGAAGAAGACAAAAGGAGAGAAGATAGAAAGTAAAAGTAAGAATAATATAATAATAATAATGTACCTTACTTGAGCACAGGGCGATACTATAGAGTGCATGTATAAAGACTGCTTGCGTTTCTTGATTATAATAGCATGTTTACAATTGTTCTTCGTCGTGAGAGAAAATGACAGAATTAGAGTCAAGTAAGATGCTTCAACTTACTTTGTGTTATCTTATTATTATTATTATTATTTTTTGTTTGTTTGCGGTTGTTGTCTCAAGTTTCCTTTTTCGACTTGAGCTCTATTATTCAATTGCTAGTTCAACTATGCTTCGAATAAAACTTGCGAAGCAACAAAGAAAATAGTACTTTTTATGGTCCATTCGCAGTGCTAGGAACTGCAACTTTTCTTGACCAGTTTGAAAAACTGCTTGCCACCCAACTTATAGCACTGTTTCATTTAGTCATCAAACTTTCTTTTCTTTTGCTTTAAGTTTGTCACTGAACTTTCATTTTTGATTGGCGAACAGATAACACAAAGCTTAATCTAGTGGGTGTGGGTATTGTGCCGGAGGAGCTAACTGAGGATAGTTTTGAAACTTGGAAAAATTGCTTGAAAAATTATTTCGTTGGGAATGGGCTTTGGGATGTTGTCTCTAAGGAGAGTAAACCAGATAAGACAAATAAACAAGAGCGTGAAGAATGGAAGAAAAAGAATGCTTTGGCTCTGCATGCAATTCAACTTTCATGTGGATCAGCAATATACTCTAAGTTTAAAGACCACATTTCTGCTCACTATGTATGGACTCATTTGACAGAGAGAGATTGGGCTCGGGTTCGACAACCAGCGCCAAGCTCAGATCAAGATGAAGAAAGTCATGTCAAAGATAATGGTACTATTTCAATACTTGTAATGAACTAGTTTGTCTAAAAACTTATCATGTTATAAGAAACAGGAAATTGCACTGTTTGTTCTCATTAATATCATGCAATCTTGCGTAGCTATCCATAAAATTTAACACTTAGACATTCTTCCACAAGAACAATGTGGTGGCGCCAATTTTCCCTTTTATTTAATGAATTCAACACAAGCCCGTCACATACAGGTCGACAACATTGTTTGCAGGGTCGAGAAAGCACCTTGCTTACGAGCACTTATACAAGGCAATTGAAGAAGGTAAGTGGCATTCTATAGAAGAAATCCTTCGGCAGAATCAAGATGCGATTAGGGAAATAGTTTCATCACACAAAGATACAGCTCTGCACATTGCAATTTTGTCTGGACACATTGAAATTGCAGAAAAACTTGTAATCATGATGGATGCAGCTGACTTAGAACTGAAAAACGAATATGGAGCTACGGCCTTATCTCTTGCTGCAATCTGTGGTGAGAAGAAACTGGCCAAGGCAATGGTATGTAAGAACAAAAAATTAGTTACAATAGAAACTGCAGATCATGAAGATGGGCATCTTCCTGTGATTGTGGCTGCATTGTATGGAAAAAAGGAAATGGTTCGTTATTTATATGAAGTGACGCCAAAAGATGAGCTCAGTCCTGAAAAGGGTGAAAATGGAGTCACACTACTCAATTCCCTTATTACTGCTGAAATTTATGGTATGTGAATGGATAATTAGTGGAGTCAAATCACACTCTTGAATAATTCCCTCAAATGCAAATAAACCTAATATTTTTGCATATAGACTGCATATTTTAGGTGGCCATTTTATTTCACAGTAATGAAGACATAGTATTCACGTTGAGTGTGAACTACTAGAAATCGCTGTTTGAATGCAATTTATAAACTGGTTTTAAATTCAGTCAGAATCTAACTTAATTTCAAATACGAATTCATAACTACTACTCATTATTATCCACAATTTTTGTGGAATTCACTACTCTTTCTCATTATAAATTGATTTATAAATTTGCTAGACGAGGGCTATATGTTTTTTGATTTTGGTATACCAAAAGTTGCAGTTGCAATTGAGATTAGGGCTTAATCCCTATGATATGGATATCTAATTCACACTTTTTTGCTTATTGTAGATGTTGCTTCTATGCTATTGAAAAGGTATCCAAAGTTGGGTGTTACCCCAGATCATAGTGGTAATTACACGCTCAAAATATTGGCTCACAAGCCTTCCGCATTTCTTAGTGGGACTAAGCTTACATTTTGGGAAAGATGGATCTACCATTGTAAGTACATAAATGCTCTCCTATTAATTTCATTAACAAACCATTTTACCTCGAGGGAACATTTAGATAAATTTTAGTTTCTTTTTCATACTGTCTAGTGCAATATATAAACGTGCTTTAAATGCAAAAGTTGGACGTTAATCATTTTGAAAAGTAATCTGAACTTTTTACACAAGGTGTAAGAGTACACACACCTTGGGACAACGAGCATGTAGAAACGCAAACATCTGGTACTAGTGATCATCACATCATTCAAATTGATGAATTAAGCGACGAAGATCTGATAGGAAGGATTTCTATGACTACTCGAGGTACGTCAAATACCACCACATCCTACCTTTCTTATTCATGTCTTCTTCACGCAAACTAAGTTTAAGTTAGAGGCATAAATCAGGCCATGATGACTCATCGACCATCCCTGGCTCGGCTCAGCCAGTTCATCCCATGCCTAAGTCTTTTTCTAAATTTAGTTTGAACGCGTGGACCCATGATCCGTCATAGTTGAGCCTGGCCAACTGTAGATGTGGGCTGACCACAACATGGCCTGTGATGGGTCTGGCTGGCTTTCATGCGTTATGTGGTCCTAGGCTTTGATAACCAGGTACATTTTGACACTAAATTCCTATTGTGCAGCTCTAGAGTTGGTGCGCAAATTCGGTTGGGGGATATTGCAATTTGTTGGTATGTATCATCTTACTCTATAAATATATAATTTCTGTTACACACGAATTGAAAATTAATAACACATGATTGGCTATTTAACATTAGTTTTCTTAATTTTTCAGTTCCAGAGATCAATTACATACACCAGAGGAAGTTAGTCCATGTCGAAGTCGTGAAATTCCTAAGTCACGTGTTTAAAGAAGTGCGACATCTGAGCAAATTAGATCTCGAAAAAATGGACATGGATACAATAATATATGATGCCATAAAGCATGGAATTTCTGAATTTATAGAAGAAATGATTAAATATAAACCCGAAATTATATGGAGAAAAGATAAAAAAGGGAAAACAATTTTTTCACATGCAATTGTTTTGCGTCAAGAGAAGATTTTTAGCCTTATATATACTTTAGGAACAAAGAAGAGTATAATGGCAAGGAGGCATGATATGTTTAAGAACAATTATTTACATCTTGCTGCAAAATTATCTCCTCCTTCTCAACTTCAGAGGGTATCTGGAGCAGCCCTACAAATGCAAAGGGAACTGCAATGGTATAAGGTAATGTATGTGCGTGGATGTGAGCATGCATGTTACTGTTGTGGTTGTTATTCAAGTTATAATATCTAAAAGTTTAAGCTGTTGAAAGATTTCGTTTACTTATTTATTTGAATTTTATCTTCAACATGCTCCCTCTCTACAACACGTACAATTTTCATAAATAGGTGATAGTTATTGAACACTTAATTCACATATTTAAGTTTGTCTTGTTTCCAAAAGTTTAAGCTTTATATGAGGTGATTCGATATGGTATTATTTAGGAAATTGACTTGAGTTCAAATTGTGTAAAAATTGTGCACATGATTTCATCCCAAAAAAAGTAGTCCAAAGTGACATATAATACAGTTTAATTTTTTTCTTCCCTACGCACAAGTGTTCTTGAATTCACGACATTTTATCTACTCTAGTGGTACGTCAATTTATCTTATCGAAAATTTTGAATCCTCATCTTAAGTTGTTTCTTCCAATAAACAGGAAGTCGAGAGCATAGTACAACCCAAACTCAAAGAGGAAAAAAATGCGATCAACAAAACACCCGAAATGTTATTCACTGATGAACACAAGAAATTAACCAAAGATGCAGAGAACTGGATGAAAAGCACAGCAGGATCAAGCATGATAGTAGGCACTCTAATTGCTGCTGTAATGTTCACAACAGCTTTCACAGTACCAGGTGGTAATAAAGAAAACTCAGGATTGCCAACAATGCTAGAAACTCAAAGAACTCCATTCTTGATTTTCATGATTTCAAATGCCTTGTCAATGTTCAGTTCGAGCACGTCGCTGTTGATGTTCTTAGGAATTCTTACAGCGCGTTATGCAGAAGAAGATTTTCTCAAGTCTTTACCGACGAAATTAATATTTGGATTGACATGTTTGTTCTTTTCGATTGTTACGATGATGGCATCCTTTGGTTCTGCATTGTATCTGATTCTACATGAGAAGTTGTCTTGGGTTACCATTCCGATCATCATCCTTTCAACGATTCCGATAGTTCTTTTCTCCATCTTGCAGTTCCCTCTCTTGATTGAGATGACATATCAGACTTATGGATCTGGGATATTTGATAAACCTAAGAAGAAATCCCATTTTGCTAAGTTCCCAGCATGTTTGGTTTGGTGGAATAAATAGTGTTTGGCACTATTGAATGTGATGTTCCAAATGTGCTCTTTAGTTCGTTTTGATCTCTGGCATTTTAATTGTTGATGTATCCATGGTGTTTTTTTTTCATATGAATTCAACTTGCTGGAATGTTTTCCTTATAGCCCACATGGCACGCCATTGTTGAATTCTATTTCGCATGTTGCAGTATTTTATAATACAAAATAAGAAGTTAATTTCAGATTTACATATCTTACAAATTATCTTGCCTTCAAACTGGTAATAGGGCTTTGAAAAAATCAATTTAAAAAACAATCTTGTTTCCCTTGCGCCTCATTATAATGGAAAAAATTTGATTATTATTTCATTCATCAACCATATATACATTCAGTCATCCATAAATAAATCCAATCATTCAAATAAACGCATAGAACCCCTAGGAGTCGCACAACTTCAAAATCATGGTGGACCCAGGATTAATTAGACCTTGAAATAATGATAGAAAGCAGAAACATATTGTTGAGAAAAATTTAAAACAAATAGAAAACTAAAAAAGTAATAGTGACTTAATAGGGCAGACCCAGGATTAATTAGACAGGGGCTTGCAAGTTCTTTAAGAGATGACTTGACAATACAAGGAACCGTAAAGGTCAAAAACTTAAAATAAGTTGTCAAAAATCAGTTAAAAAAAAAGGAGGATGATGAAAATGAGGGCATGGTGAACCTTACCTTTAAATTTGCGTAATTAATGCAATACATTACCTTAAAAGACTGAAAAAACGAAATCGAATATATTACAAAAGTATCAAAAACATGAAATACTAGTACCTTAAAAAACTGCTATATGGGGTGTATTAAATTAAGACTTCTAAAGTCTGTTTGCAATTTAAAAAGTTTAAAATATTTAATATGAACCTTTTGAGACTTTTTAAAAGTATTGATATATTCAATGAAAACTTATAGACTTTTAAAGAATATTTAAAAATCACATAGGATATCAATGAGTTGAATCAAGCTGGCTCACGAGCTGAACTCAAGTAAAAATAGTTCAAGTTTTTTTAGCTCGAGCTTTTCCTCGACCAAGAAATCTAGGCTCGGGTCTTATTGAGCCGAGTTGGTCCCGCTCAATTTTGTTTAAGTATATACACAAGCAGCCTGCAAGCAAGCAATATTACAGGTAGCTACACTGCTGCAACAGTTTTTTTAAGAATTTGCTCGTCACTAATCGAAAATTGACTATGACACGAGATGGCCAGTGTGGTTCTTCGAGCCACATGGGCTGGCTCTGGCTCGCACTCGGGCTCGGCTCGAGCCACTACTCCAAAATGGGACTTGACTAGAGCTTCTAGTCAGGTCGACTAGAGCTTTTTTCGGGCCCAACATGAGCGACCCAAACCGACAAGTCAAATTGACTCCCCTAAAATCATGGCATAGTCAATTAAATTTTTTTTTAAAGTTTGGAGTACGTAAATTGTCAATGACTTTTAAATTTTTTTATAAAAGTCTCTAACATACTAACTTTTAAATAGACAATAGAAAAGTAAAATATTAAAATTTGTCTCTCATTCATTCTAAGATTTTGGGAAACTTTCACAAATAAAAAAAAAATATTATTATGTATTTTTTATCTCTTTCAATATTTCTATTTCCATTTTCCCTTCTATGGACATTAGAGTCATGATTAAAATATTTTTTTTTTCTACAGGCTATATTTGTTTCTATTTTTCTTTTTTCTATTTTATTGTTTATTTCTATTTTCTATGAAAATAAATTGTAATTAAAGATTCTTATAAAAAAAAATTATCAATTTGTTAAGAAAAATATCTATATAGTTAAGTTATGAGATTTTATATTAAAAAAATACTAATTTATAATTAAACTTATATATGTTGATTTTCTATATATGTGTGAGCGCGCGTATACTCAAATTTTTTTTATTTTAAAAATATTTTTTATTACATAAAGAGAGGAAAGAGAATGTGGAAACCAATGAACCACAACATACGATGTGAGAAGTGAGAATTTCACACTGTTGCATTAGACTAAGGTGAATTTCATTTTAAATGAAAGTTTTCACAAGGCTTTTGAATTCTATAAAAGTTTTAAAATGAAAATCTACAGAAGTCTACGAATGACTTCCATTAATTCCAAACAAATCTATAGAAAAGTCCAAAAAATTTACAAAAATTATCACTTAAAAAAAGTCTATAAAAGTTTTCAAAAGTCTCATTGGACACACCCCCTACGTTGCTATTTGCAATTCCTCAAATGATTAAAATGATCACTTATTAACTCTGTATTAGTGCCAAGAACTACAATATACAAATTCAACGAAATAATATCAAATTTTCAATTCATCAATTCAATTAAAATAACAATATATATACAACTCGTAGCAACCAGAAAATTAGCCATACTTACAATTAAATTTGATAATAATTGACATCAAATATCATTTTATTTAAGTCCACCACTAAACAGTTTTTCATTTCAAACTATGTGGTGGCATATATAGCTAATCATGAGTTTTTCAAAATGATACCCAGAACCTTTTCCAAAGATTGAAATATAGGCCAAAAAATAAGCCAAAAGAGGTGATGGCTATGAATTAGATTTCCAACTTACTATTTTGATCTCATCGTTAGCGGTTTAGCAGATTGAAATATGCATTGCAAAATACACTGTGAATACTTCAAAATGTTATTAAAAACATCGACTATGAATTGAGGCACAAACTACTCGGGTTGCAAAAGTTTCTATATTTTTTTGGGGATCTGAGTGAAGGATTTTATGGATATATATTCTGTTCCAAAAAGTTGCTAGAAATTTTATCATTTAGATTTAAAAGAGTCAAGTATATATATATATATAGATTTCTAGAATAAACAAAATAGTACTGCATACAGGGCCGGTCCTGTGATTGTCGGGGCCCGAGGCAAAGCTTAAAAATTGGGCCCCCTCCCGAAATCAACGTAAATGCAATGGATAAAGGATTTATATATATAGTTGGGTAATTGGACTAAGGCTAAGGATATTAGATTGGATTTGGGTTGCATTTCTCCATCACTGGGGGTCTGGTTCAAGTTCAACTATAGAAGAGAGAAAAAAAATAAAAATTCTGGGCCCAAAGTGAGCCCCCGCCCCCCTCCCGAGATGTTGGGCCTGAGGCATAGGCCTCATTTGCCTAGCCCCAGGATCGGGCCTGACTGCATATATCCAGTTTTCGCCAATTTAAATTTAAATTGGCTTCTTGTCTTTTGATGTTTTGACTCAGCAAGCTTAAATAAAATATGTTAAAGTTGTTATATAAAATGTAAAAACTTTCCTTGCGATTAGGAAACACACGAGCAGCTTGCATTGCATTATTCTACAGTGTTTTTTGCAGTTGACTAAGTGGACAGTTGACCATAAGAAAATTTTGTTCAATTTAAGTGCAGCAGAAAAGGAAACATAGAACACAAATAATCTCAACATTATAATTTGAAGAATACTCAAATTGGTATGTAATTATCCTCATATGTATGTTGCGATGAGGCTTATCGTGGTTTAAATTGAAAACCACTTTGCAAAAGAGAATAATGTTTGCCTACGAGCGGGTGTGATTTTAAACTTTGAAAGCGCTGATTAAAAAAAGGATTATGGAAAGACCTAGTAGAATTTTAAAATTTAAAATGTTACAAATGAGATATTCTACCTCGTTATGTATAAAAGATTACTACAATTTTGCCATTTGGTAAGACATTGCACATGTTATATTGACTCAATACATTTAATACACCCATTGTTTTATAATGTTTTGTATAGCCATAAAGGCAAGAAGAACATGATATTTGTTTTACTCGATTAAGAAAATATTTATGACAAATTTGGCATTGTGAACACTACAACAATGGACAGTATTGAAGAAGAACAAAATGTAAATCTTTTTTATTGTACTACGGATCGATCTCTGACTTATAGAATATGATCTAAATGGTATAGTTGATTTTGCGACATTAAAGATTTTGAATCATACATACATAATGGAGAAATATAGGTGGTGGAGCCACCTTCAAACCATCATCTGAGGTGGTGGACAGACGGGTATCTCAACTAGCACATTTTGAGTTCAAGCTTCAATTGTTTTCCCTTTGAAATCATATTTCAAATCCACTTGAATCATAAGATGTTTTGTCGATAAATTTCATCTGCGGCCACTAAATTTTACGTAAATTTCAGTTGGGTCAATAAACTTTATAATAACTAGGTCACTGCTTTCAAATTTTATCATTCTATTAAACTACGTAACATATCGCCCTCAAGACTATCATAGCATAAAATGAAAATGGTAAGACACAGATTATAGCAATGTCTTTTGATTAAAATATTTCAATGTTTTTTTTTTTTAACACTTTCACGTAATTGACATACCATGCATCAATTACATGGAAGATTCATTGTGGCATGGCTGCTAATTAAATGGTCTTCATTAATTGGAGAAAGCAGGTGATGAAATGGTGAAATTAGAAAATAAATTTAAGTTTTAATGATCCAATTGAGATTTTGTCGAATGTTAAGTGACAGAAAATGAAAATTAAACGTATTTTACTTATGACTTCTTCTAAAACAACAGCGATGGAAGTGACTATTGATGGGTGTATGACCTTTCGAAATGTGTCCTATACATAGCGAACGGAAAAGGGGATCAAAAAATTTCTTATGACAAAGGGGGATAAAAGTTTTTCATGAATCAAACGAGAGGGTTTTTCCTAAATAAGTAGAAACCTTAAGACAGATCAAACTTTCCTAGAATTACCTACAAAATTTCCAAAGCTAGAAATGATTTTTATCTTCTTTTAACAATGGGAAATATTTTCTTACTCTTTTAAAAGAAAGAGATAACTGCACGTTTTCTACGTGGTATTAGATCGTGTGGAATAGTACATTAAAAGACAATATTTTAGTTTCGTTTTCTTTCTTGATATTGTCATGTTATATAATCACATTACCAAACATGAGTTCAATATATGATTGCTCATATCAGTAGGCTGTACTCTCTACTTGCTCTATGATATGAATCAAGGCACGTCCACAACCGAAGCGAGTCAAGCGACGAGTTACAGAAAGGATCCATTGATAGTCGAAGGCGGACCGATGACGCGATCGAGGACGAAGCGAGTGAAAGAAGCTATGGGATTGCTTGTCAAGCAAACGATCGGTGAAACAATGTTCGGGAGGTCAAATGGAACAAGTTTCATGTTGGG